AAGTAAGCAGCGTTCGGGCATTGCGGCATGGGTCTGCCGAGCTCCTGGTATTGCTATTGCCATTATTTGTGCCGCATCAATGTGTGCAATGTACCTCGAGTTTTCATGCGCGGACGGGCTGCAGCTGAATCCGCTCTCCGACAAGTTTCTGGATAAGCATGCGCGCGTTCAGGATGAACCGCAGCCGCTGGATCAGCAGGACGTACGTGCTGATGAAATACGAGTTTTGAAGAAACGTCTTGCCACATTTACACAACTTATCGCTTACGACGCTGGTATATATTTGGGGCCTCCCAACTCTGTCCTTGCAGCGCAACGGTCATTACAGAATGGTGCGACCAGTCTCGGAGTCGATTTGAGCCTCACGCAAGATGATAAGCTTGTTGGTGCCCACAGCTCGACTGAATGGATTGCAAATTCTGGGTTCCCAAAGCGGGCGCAAGATTTGATGGACGTTCGTTTTGAACAGGCGGAGTTTTCACCAACGTGTGAAACGTTTGAACAATTCTTCTTGTCCATTGGGGTACCATCTTCGGAACTGGTTGGCCTTCAGGCTTGCGAGCGCCAAAGAATTAATACGGTTGAAGATTTCTTTGATGCGTTTCCAGGCATCCCTATCATATTTGATTTGAAAGCAAGTTCTTGGGAACTGCAGCGGAGACAGGTTACTATTCTGCACGAGTTGTTGTATCGAAAATATCCTGAGCGACGTGCAGATGATACGCTTACTTCATTACGGGTGTTTGCTTTTCCAAACCAAACCAATCCCGCAGATTATTTTGAAGATTGGTTCGGGTCTTCAACGCTGCCTTTCACATTCAGTCTCGGGGTACCCGCGCCCGGGGGGGGGGGCAAGCGAAACAATATTGAGACACTCAGTCGTATTCTCACAACCAGTACAGCCTCTCAGAACGGGAAACTTCAGATATTCTTGACACCTTCTGAATTGGCAGCTAGTTCTCGTTTCTTCAAGTTTGTTGGACAGGTTGACATAATTTGTGATTTGGCCGTTCACGAGCTCGATGGAGAGGCTCATGCAATTCATATATCACGTTACCGAGATCTGCACCCTTGGCAAAGCGATTTGCAATATTGTGTTGAATTTGGTGTTGCAGCTGTTCATACTTCGAGAATTGATGTGAGTTTGAAGACATTGATAAAATGGTCAGTTAGGGCGAAGGAAATGTCGCCAGCTGGGCCAGCTGCCAGCCTGAGCAACCCCCTGGCCGAAAAAATGATGCCAAAGGCATTTTGGCCAGACGCGCATGGTAGGTGTGTTTTTGCTGAGCGTGGGTCAGACCCTGGTCCAAGTTTAGTTCTGTTGAGCCAAAGCGACGCATCACACCAGACGCAGAGGTTCTCAGTTGGCCCAGAAGTTGCGAACAGAAGCATGTGGATGCGTTGTGCTGGGAAGTTTGCCACGGCCCTCCTGGTGTTACGACTCGTGGAAATCGGCAAACTCCCAGGGCTCGATGAGCCAATTGTTGAGTTTCTTCAATTACAGAAAGTGGAGAACCATTCAGTACTGCAGCGATTGACGTTGCGGCATGTCATGGCAGGCGTGGGTGGCTTACCCTACTGGCACTGGACGCCTGACGGGGTGAAAACACGAATCATGCCAGCGTCCCGTATATGTGAAGAGGCACTTCGCAAGGTAAGCCCCGCATTTGTTCTGGGCTCCCGATTTCAATATTCCAACATGCAGTGGGCAATCGTAGAGCGTGCTGTCGAAGTTGCAACAGGCTGGGACTTCCCCGATGCAGCTCGCCGGTATTTGTTCGATCCACTCGGCATTTCGAATCTAACGTATTATCAGTCTGAGACACTGCCTGCTTGTTCCCAGAGTGTTTCAACGCGAGTTTATGAGATCAATTTGCGGGCGGGGATCGGTCTTTGTTCGATTGCCGCGGATATGCTTCTTCTTGGTGAAGCCGCCCGTAGCATTGGATTTCTGTCGACTCGGGGAGTGCAAGAAGTAGTTATGGATCAATTGCGCCACAGATTTCCCGCCGCGATTCCGAGTTTCCTGAACAATGCCCCAGTAACAGATTTCGCTGCAAATGGGATAGAATGGTCTGGCCGAGGGTTTGCTGGCTACTACTGGGCAGACGAATGGCTTGTGGGCTACGGCGGACCAGAAGGATTCTGGGGTCAGAAGGTTCTCTTACGCGTCAAGAATGGACTCGGATCAGGGCCACTTTTGGTACAGTGGGTTTCTACACCGCATTCTAACAAGAGCGCGAAAGATTTTGCCAGGAGCGTGTTTGATCTATTCACTGCTGCACCTGACAGATTTGGCTCCTCATTGCCAGATTGCCAAACAGGCGCTGGCATCAGTGATTCAATTGCAATCCGGAATGTCGCGGCAGAAGTGTCCAACTCGAGTTACAGAACAAGAGCGGAGGATGCACTAGTGCCAGAGTGTATGTACGCAAGAAGAGCGTTAGAGCCGCTTGGCGATCACCCAGTGTGCAATCGTCAACATTTGCGTGGAGACTCCCAGTCCAGTGATTATCAAACAATGGCGGAATGGGCCGAGACCACGATCGATGTAATCGGGCTCCGTGCCGAGCCACACAATGTCAAAGAGTTTCAGCTGAGCGCGCAGATGTTGAATGAGGGGCTGAGCAAGACTTGTCGGCTCGAAGGGTGGCTTAAGGAATTGGTGAAATGGCCCATCGACAAATCATGGATTGAGACAGAGAACCAACCATCGTCGAGAGTGCGAGATGTGTACGAGTATGCGCGTTGTGGGAACGGCCTTGGGGCCACATGTGACAGAGACGTGAAACATGTGACAGAAGCGTGTAACCGCTTGGCCGCAGCGTCTATTGCATGGAAAATGCGGAGTGGTCTCACAAAGGAGTATCCCGACGTGCCGAGCATGTTCGACATTGTACGACAGCACCACTATTGGATGGAAGTCTATTATGGCAAGAATCGCCTGGCACCAAGGCCTCGCTTGCTTACACAGCCGAAAAGAAAGGGGCAGGAATATTGTTACATGTTTCCGAAGCCAAGTAACACGCTTTGCCGAGGAGGACTGGCTCAATACCACGCCTTGGCGTCAGAATTGGAGGATCTTCTTCCAGGCGGGCGAAATCTATGGCATCACGAGTTTGCACTTTCTAGGGATTTTACTGCTTATCGTCCATTACCGTCCCTCGCTGGATTTGATATGAATGCGATCGCCAACGAGCGGAAAATATTGATAGTTGCTGGTACTAATGGCTTCTTCCGTGCACCCAAAGTTCTCATGGACATGTACCGCCCATACTTTGAGTTCGATCGAGTGGTACTCTTCGATCCTGACTCGCAGGGCATGAATGTGCCATCGCATTATAATGCGAGCGGTAATGTGGAGTGGGTTCAAGGTTTCGTGAAGGTCGCGTCATGTGATGCGTCCGACCTAATCGCATACCTGAGCCACAATGTTTCGCCAGATGATTTCGTTGTTGTCGTGTTCGACGTTGACGATGAGCATGCAGGCGCTAGTCATGGTGCCACCATGGAGTGGGGTTGGCTTGCAACTTTAGTGAATCACGACCTTCGGCTGATTGATGAGCTTTACATCGAATTACACACGTACAAACCTGAAGTGGGGTGGCACCACGATCGGCATAGTGCGTGGGAGCAATACGATGTCATGCACCAGTTGCGGTACGTGTGCGGTGTAGCAGTCCATGCTTGGCCTTGACGTATGCAGAGTGTTGTTTTGGCTATGAATTGTTTCGCTGTTGGCGTTCGAGTATTCAGCGAGGGATCTGTTCGACGCCCCAGTATGTGTGCCGTTCTCGCCAATGCGCGGGAGGCTGCAATGCTGGCTTGGTACGCAAGCTTGAATGATGTACACTGCAACTGTAGAACAGTGCACATATGTGAAAAAAAAAAAGACAGCCTCCGAAAGCCCAAGACGGGTCACGAGAGCCCGAATTCAGCCCACGACGCCTCCAAGCGGCCCAAACATTCACCAACAAGCCCCCAAGAAACCTCAAGATGCAGACAAGAGGCTTCCAAAAGGTTCCCAGTATCGGCGGAGAGCGAAGGGGGGAAATGAGAAGGAGAAGGCCTTCTCAGAAGGCGACGGGGCTTCTCAGAATTCCTCCGGCCTTTGAGGGGTTTTTTATGTTTCCTGGGAAGACCTAGAAAACTTCTCAGAAGGCCGGGGGACTTCCGATCCTTCTGAGAATGCCCGCCCCTTCTCACTTCCCCCCTCGCCCGCCGCCGACAGTAGATCCCGAACACACATGCTCTACGCATTCAGGACGTGCACCCCGCGTTGCGAGGTGAAAACAGGAGTTTTCCTGTCTTCTGTGTTTCTTCATGTGAGTTCGATAGCCTTGAGCTGCCGAGGCTCCCACCGCAGGTCCACAGAGTTCACTCGTCACATGCTTGGTGCTACTCTGAGCCTTCAGCAGATATCGGGTTTGGGAGGCTCCCGTCCAGAGAGGGATGCCGATGGACCATCCGGACAATCATGAAAGCCGCTGCTTCGCACGTGCCCCTCCTTCCCCAAGCTCGCACTGCTCGTGGCCGCACTGCTGCACTGCCCCTCGAGCTCTTGGAAGCGCCTTCGCCTGCGCCCCAGGGCAGGGCGGTCGTTCGCCCTCGGGCGTCCTGGCTCCCTCGAGAGGTCGAGGCCTTGTGGTCCGCGGTGATCTGTCTCTTGGTCTTGTGGCAGCAGAGCGTGGCTGCCACGCTAGGATTTCCTCCTCCTCCTCCTCCTCCTCCTCCTCCTCCCCCTCGCCCCGAGAGTTCGACCCAGCTTGTGTTCGCTCTGGCCACAGACGGTTCCACTGGCACGGTCGATGTCTCAGTGAGCGCCTCTGTGTTTGCGCGTGGCCTGAGCGAGACAGACCGCGCAGGGGCTACGAAGGACGTGACTGGCCCCTTGCGCAGGGGAGATTCCATGCACACTTTCGGGTCGCCCACCGTCGCAAACTCGATGCGCCCCAGGAAGCTCGACTGGAAACCGCGCAGGGCAACCTCTCGGATGGCATCATGACCCATCGGATCGACCAGGGAGACGTGTAGGTCTTTGTATGGTCAGTCGGCATTGGGTTTCGCCCTGTCGAAAACGTGCCCATTTGAGGCGTCAACCATGGCAGTCCAAACCATCTCCCAATCGCAGATATAGGAGCCTTCTGCTCCTTATGCTTGGTTTCGTTATCATCAATCTTCATGCTTTCCTCCGTAGTCATTTTTTTGGTTCAAGCCATTTTGGCTCAAACATTGCTGTCCCAAGCCGCTTTGACCCGACGCCTAACAATTGTGATTAAGTTAGTGCGCATTCGATAAAAGTAAAGCGTGGAGTCAGGGCGCCGCTTTCAAGCCGAGTCTAACAGACCGTGCCTTCACCATTCGTTTTTTAGACATGCATGGATGTCGTGTGACCAATGGGTGTCTGGTGCAATCGCAAGCAGATCATTGTTTCACCCTAGTCACACCAGTTGTGCTACCATGGCCACGTTTGCGAGAGCCTCACATCGTACTGCCACTCTATGCGCCACAAACTCTCGTCCCGCTAGCACAGACTCTGATTGGCTCCTCTTCCAGCAACTTCATGTTTTGTCCCGCCGTCCCAGTCGTTGGCTTTACAGTGCTGTTGTTCGCAGCCTTTGCGCGACGGACTTTATTACGCACAGGTGGTCATGCTGTGGCACTGGATGGTTCATCCTATAGGCTACGGGCGCCAGCAATCGCAAACAATTGCATATCTCATTGCTTGCCACAGCGCCATGACGAGTTCCCTGCTCGAAATCAGGATAACGAAACAAGTGATGCTCCTTCTGCGAAGCTCATGCGGACGCCATCGAGCTCGGAAGGCGCGCCGTACTCAACTGAGGTTGCCGTTCGAGCTGCGGATGGCCTTTTCGACAGCGCTGCGGGAGTCCGACTGCTGTCAAACAACATTGAGCCCATGCGTCGCAGAGCCTTGCTGGCTGCTGTGGGCGCTGCTGGCGGCCTCCCGGACGCAGCTGGAGCCAAAGCCGATGAGCCTGGCGCGGGGTGGCTATTTCGCTTATACTCGACCGACGAACTTGGCAAAGATCAGTTGAAGCAGCGTCTTTTGTCCGATGAGCTGGAGAAGTTTCCAACTAACTACGTCGATTTTTTCGGCCCATCGGACGTGATCTATCCCGATTGGGTCGAGGGCCGTTGGCAGATACAGCAGACGCTTGCAAAGTATAGTGCGCCCCTCGGGAAGAAGTTCCTAGGGGCGACGGCGGACAAGACCCTCGCAGAGAAGCAGCAGCAGCTCTGCAAACCTGTGACCTTCGAGCTCAGGTACGTGAGGACTGCTCGGGGCGACCTCGTGGAGGATCGTGCCTTCAACCTAAAGTCTAGGCTGAACGCCCTTGCGGGCAAACAAGTTGTAAAGGAGGTCACCTACGCAGAGATTCCGAGCTACGGCCCGACTAAGCAGTCGGATGGCTCAGATGATCCTCAGCTTGCTGCGGTCGTCCAATTCGAGGGCGGTATCTCACAGAAGCAGTTCATCACGCGCTTCGTGACAGAGCGGGGGGACGAGGGAAATGTCTTCCGTGCACTTGTAAGCCAGCGCGTTATTTTTGCCACAGGATCTGGTACTGTAGTGTCGGCGGACGAGGAGGCTATAACTTCGCTTCGCCGAAAGCCTGACGGTAGCATAGTCGGCCGCTTGAGATCAGTTGGGTACTTGAACCCTAAGGACGAGCTTTATTTCGATGCAGCCAACAGGGCAGTGGCAATCGCGGATTATAGCATGAAGCTTACGGCGATTGTTGATGCGGATGGGGGGTCGGCCGATACCATGGTGCGAGGTGGCTAAGAGAGTGGCCGGATTCACATCGGGAGCGCCCTCGGAAATAACATTTCTCGGGTATACATTAATCGCTTCGCTCACTCCGCTGGCCCGTATTGTACCACCGCAGGCGTTTGCCTGCGCGTTCGTGGCCTCCTGGGGCCTCTTGGGGGACGTTTTGGGGGCGTCTTTTGGGGTTTCTTTTAGGGCCTCTTGTGGGCCTCGTGGGGCCTCAGGGGGGCCTCCTGGGCTCTTTTGGGGGCCTCTTGAGGCTTGGGGCCTCTTGGGGCGGCGGAAGGCTTGAATTGGTGGTTCGTGTTGCCCCGCTTGGGGGCGTCTTGGGGCCCTCCTGGGCGATCTTGGGCGCCTCTGGGGCCGTTGGGCCGTCTTGGACCACATAGGGGCTTTCTCGGGGGCCCCTCGGGCCGGTCTTGGGAGCCATCTTGGAGCGTCGGAAAGCCGAAAAGGCGAGAAGGCTGAAAACCTCCCTCCAAGCACCCAAAGGAAATCCATGATTGTGTCTTGTGCGGACTTCTTGGGGGGCCTCCTGGAAGCCTCTCGGGCCGTCTTGGGGGCTTCTTGGGCCGTCTGGAGGCCATCTTGGGCGGCTTGGGGCGATTTTGGGGCGTCTCCAGCTCCTTTTTGGCGCCGTCTTGGTGCGTTTTTGGGCTCGTATGGCCGCCTTTTGGGCCCTCTTTGGACCGTCTTGGGCCATCGTGGGGTTATCCTGGGAGCCGCTTGGGCTGTGTTGGGGCGGTCTTGGAGGCCTCTTGGGCCCTCTTGGAGAGTCGGAAAGCCGAAAAAGCGAGAAGGCTGAAACTTCAAAAACCAACGGAACATCAATGATTTTCATCTCGTGGGGACCTTTTGGGAGGCTTTTTGGAAGCCTCTTGGACGCCGTCTTGGCGGCCTCTTGGGCCGTCTGGAGGCCATCTTGGGCGGCTTGGGGCGATTTTGGGGCGTCTCGGGCCTCTTTAGGGGCCGTCTTGGGGCGTTTTTGGGCTCGTATGGCCGCCTCTTGGGCCGTCTTGGGCCATCGTGGGGCCATCTTTGGAGCCTCTTGGGCTGTGTCGGGGCGGTCTTGGAGGCCTCTTGGCCCCTCTTAAAGCGTCGGAGAGCCGGAAAACAATTGATTTGTGCTTCTTGGGGCGCCTCCTGGAAGCCTCGAGGGGCGTGTTGGGGGGCATCGATGGCCATCGTGAGGCCATCTTGGGCCGCCTTGGGACGCTGCTGGCTTCTGGCCGCAGGGCCTGCCACCTGTTTCTCGACTCATTGGGCCGCCCCTGGACGGCTCCAGGAGGCCCCCAGGCCCGCGCCCAAGAGATCTGGCATCTCTGGCCCGGACTGGCCCAGGAGTTGCCCCGGGTACGCTTCGCTCTGGGACCCCCCAGGCGGGGCCGCCACGCACGCGCGACGTACTGTGTGAGCGGCTTGAATCAGGAACACTTACTTTTCAAAAGGGGCTCGGTCGTTCCTGAGGCTTGCATGCGCTATGTACCGTTCCTTATATGTTGTTTATTATTTATCGTTCCTGATGCGTTATTTCTAACGCAAAAAACGGGCATCGTTCCTCATTTCTCGTTTCTTAGGCCAGATGATTGTATAATATTGTTCGTTTGTTTATGGAGATCTCAGCACGCCTCTGGCCTGGAGGACCGGCGATCGAGTCTTGACCGCATCAAGACGACGAAGCGGACATCCACCTGCATGCTGCTCTCCACATCTCCTCCTCCTCCTCCTCCTCCTCCTCCTCCTCCTCCTCCTCCTCCTCCTCCTCCTCCTCTTTGGCCGCCCCCGAATCTGGGGACGTGCAGCCCTCCAGAGTTCCGCGCGGTGGCCCCAGCGCTGGCTCTTCGTCCAGCTCTGGTGGGCTAGCTTTACGTCGGGCCTGTCCCTCTACAGGAGAAATATTCAAAACTACAAAGAAGATAGTCTGGGGAAGATGGTTTGACCATTTTTGCGTATTTGGGTTTTTTGTTGTCCCCCGATCCTGTTTAATTTTTCGTCCAAGCTCCGCCTGTATGGGGACAGGCCCGACCTGCTAGCTCCTTCCCTGCGAGGTTTTCAGCGCTGTTTTTTCCAACGGGCTCCAGGGTCTGTTGGGCGTTCGATCATGGACCGCTGGTCGGTGCGACAGTCCAAGGTACCCCCAGAATTCTCGGGGTGGCCCAGACGGCCTCCAGGGCACCCTCGCGAGGCCCAGAGGGCCCCAGGGGCTCCAGGAAAGCTGGGGGCACCTTGGGCCAGGGGTGCTTCTAGCAGCACCCGAAATGGGCTCCAGGATCTGTTGGGCGTTCGATCGCGGACCGCTGGTCGGTGCGACAGTCCAGCTTTCGCGCCGAGGACCGCCAGAAGCCGCCGAAGACCGCCCTGGACCGTCAGACCACCGCCGAAGGCCGCGCAAGACCGCCCGAGGCCGATGGGTAGCAGTGGCCGATGCGTGCGTAGGGATGTGGCCGTCGGGTTCAAGCTGTCCACGGGGTGCTCAAACGGCTCCTTCTGCTCGGCGTTCTTCGAACCACCGCCCTGTTCCGTCGCGAGGCCTGGCTTTGTTCTTTGTCGCTGCGCCGCGCTTCTTCAGGGCCTCACTGTACAAGTGATCAGTTTTCTCTGTTGAGAACGCTAACAGTTCACATAGGCTGAAGGATGTATTACAGATCCTCGTCGTCCAGAAGGTTGCCCAGGGTGGTGACGAGGCGCCCGAGTCATTGACGAAGTTGTATCGGCTTTTTGCGGTTGGTTGGATTCTTCAGGCTTACGCCACATCCGCCGACCCCTTAATTGAAGTCAGTGATCAGATGGTTCGAAACCGTTTGGCGGTCGTTTTGGGGTTCTTGTCGGGTTTCTTGGGAGCTCTTCGGGGCCTGAGGGGGGCATCTTTGGGGCTGTTCGGGCTACTCCTGGGCTCGTCTTCGAGCTCTCTTGGGCTTCTTCGGGCTCTTCTTGGGCTGCTTTGGCGTCCTCGTGGGCCGTCTTGGGGCCTTTTTGGGCCCCCAGGGGTGCTCTTTTGGTGCCCCCGGGGGTTCCTGGGGGCGGAAAGCTAGATTTGGTAGATTTTTGGTGGCCCTCTGGGGCTCTTCATGGTACTATCTTGGAGTCCTCTGGGGCCGTCTTGGGGGCCTCTTGGGCCGTCTTGAGGCCATCTTGGGTTTGGGCCGTCTTGGGGCCGCCTTGGGCGCCTCTTGGGCGGTATTGGGGCGGTCTTCGGGGCCTCCTGAGCCGTCTTGGAGCGCCCGCAAGCCGAAAAGACGCAAAGGCAAGACACATAGGAAAACCACAATGGAAAATTTTCAATTTTCACTTATCGAGGCTCTCTTGGGAGGCTTCTTGGGGATCTCTTGGGCCGTCTTGGAGGAGGCTCTGGGTTATGGGTTATGGATTATAGGTTGGAGGCTGCTTGTATGTGTATCGGGTTCTCGCGGCGCGCCTCTCGGGAGCCTCTGGAAGGCAGTTTTGACGCCACTTGGGAGCCGTTTCGGAGGCTCTGGGAGTCTTTTGGGGGCCTCCTGGGGGCCTTTTGGGAGCTCCTTGGGGCGTCTTGGCCGCCTTTTGGGTGCCTTTGGCGGCCTCTTGGGGCACTCTTCGGGCTCCCTGGGGCTCCCGGGGGCGGACAAGTAGAATGTTGAATTTTTGGTCGCCCTCTTCGGCTCCTCTTGGTCGTCGTCGTCGTCGTCATCGTCGTCGTCGCCGTCGTCATCGTCGTCATCGTCGTCGTCGCCGCCGCCGCCGGCGTCGTCGCCGCCGCAGCCGTCGTCGTCGTCGTCGTCGTGGTCGTCGTCGTCGTCGACGTTGTCGTAGTCGTCGCCGTCGTCGTCGTCGCCGTCGTCGTCGTCGTCGTCTCTGGGACCATACCATTTGGGGGGGGGGGAGGGGGGGCCCGAGGAATCCTGGGCCATACCATCTGGGGGGGGGGTGCCCGTGAACCCTCGACCCTGGATCATATACGGCCTTACCTAGCTCATGAGTGGGCTGCAAGTGTCCTAAGCGGCACAGGGGGGCAAGTGTTTGGGCTAAGTGGGCGGAGTCCACTCAGCGGAGATACCTAACCTTTTTGAGCCACTTAGGGCATTCGTTTGGTGTTCGATCGTGGACTCCTTTTTGAACGCAACCACCCAGCTTTAGCGCCAAAGACCACCGAAACCCGCCAAAGACCACCGAAGACCGCCGAAGGCTGTCAGGCGACCGTCAAAGACCGCCAGAAGACCGCCGAAGACCTTCAGAATGCAGCCGAATACTGCCGAAGACTGCCCACGGCCGATGGGCCACAGGCGGTCCATAGTCGAACACGTACCATTTGCAACCCTCCTATAGGATAGATTAGGCCGAAGTCCTCGGATCCTCGACCTCGGCTGGCGATCGGCGGCGGCGACGGCGATCCCCGACCGCCGCCAGGGCCGCAAGGGCCGCGGCGCGCACTCCCGCCAGCGCTCCCGCCGCGCCTGCGCGGGTCAATCGGGGCTGAACGGGCCAATGGGAGGGGGCGGATCTGAACCATGCTTCAGAGGAGGAGAAGGTACCCACACTGCTACCCTTCCCTCGTTTCCCCCTTTTTTGGGGCCTCCTGGGAGGCCCTCGTCGCCACTGCTGGATTCGCCTCGAAATTCTGGTCAGGACGCACACCTGGAGAGGTCCGGGGTGTAGCGGTGTCAGGACCTTTGGTTTCCCCCCCAGGCGCGTCGCCGCAGCGTTGGTCAAGCAGTGGCGGGGCGTTCTGACTTGCCTGTAGGTCCACCAAACGATGTACTTGATAACCTGCTGTTGCTTGCTCGAGATGTTTTCAGAAAATTGCTGGCTGCGACCGTCTTGTTCAAAGGCAGTGGCTTTCTGTTGAAGCATTGCTTGTCATGGAAGAACATTCTTGCATGCCACGAAGATCTCGTGATGGGCCTCTAGGAATGCCCGGGCGGACGGTCCTTGCGCACGTTAGGAAGTCGTTGTTTTACTCCCTGGTGATAGCGGGCGTGACCAGGGGTGAGGTCGGGGGGGAAGGAGGCTGGTCACGTCACGATCCGCGCTGGCCCCGTCTGTGGGTGCTTGAGGATGGCCACTTCCCCCACGGCGCCGTCCCGAGTCGTGGCGCGACCAGGCGAGATCGCGAATCATCAAACGACGAGCTGCAGGGGGGGAGACCGGGACCGCTGGGCCCAGAGGCGTCGGAAGTGATCGGAAGGTTTCGGGACCCCCACGGGATGCTCCCCAGCGGCTGCGCCTCGCCGACGGCGTCCCCAGGCGTGCCCCCAGGTCGTGCAGAGCGGCCGCCCGAGAGACCCAGCTATGGCCCGAGAGTCGGGGGCCAACGTTTGGGCGGGGACGGGCTGCGCGGGGAGCCATCGGCCCCCCAAATTGCCCGCTGGTCGCCAGTAGGGGGCCTGACAGTCCGCCCCGCCCAGAACGTGTGGCTTCGCTATCGGGGGTCTGTCGCCGATCTCTCGGCGAGCTATCGCCGAGTCCAGGTTGGCGTTTGTCCCCGCTGAGCCAATTCCCCCTTATCGTTAACCCCCGATGGGCATGGGGCTGCGCCCAGCGATCCAGCGGAGAACTCGGGCAATTCTTTTTTTGTGGGGGGGGAGGGTGTGTGTTTTTGGTTGCCGTTTCTGGTTTTCCCCATATCCTAAGATGGGGTTCTTGTTATTTTTTGGACGCCTCCTCCTCCTTCTTCTCCTTCTCCTCCCCTCTCCTCCTCATGCCCAGAATTACTCATACACAGACTGACTCACACTCAGACTTACTCATACCCAGACTTATTCACACACATAATTACTCTTACTCAGACCTACTCATACTCAGACCTACTCCTACTCAGGCTTACTCATGGTGAGACTCACGCACGCCCCGTTCGCGGCCGTTTTGTGGGGATGCTTCGAGCGGTTTGCTTGTTTTCTGTCCCAACATCCTTGGCTACCAGAGCAGATTGTGAGGTTGTCTCAGGCGGGGCGCTGGTTTCGGCTCCCCCTGAGGGGAGCCACCAGGGGTTATCTCACTGTCCCGTTCGCGGCCGTTTTGTGGGATGTCTCAAGCGGTTTGCTTGTTTTCTGTCCCAACATCCTTCGCTTTCGGAGCAGATTTGGAGGATGTCTCGAGCGAGGCGCTCATTTTCACCCCCCTAAGGGGAGCCGCCAGGGGTTATCTTACGGTCCCGTTCGCGGCCGTTTTGTGGGGATGTCTCAAGCGGTTTGCCTGTTTTCTGTCCCAACATCCTTCGTTTTCGGAGCAGATTTGGAGGATGTCTCGAGCGAGGCGCTCATTTTTACTTCCCTAAGGTGAGCCGCCAGGGGTTATCTCACGGTCCCGTTCGCGGCCGTTTTGTTGGGATGTCTCAAGCGGTTTGCTTGTCTTCTGTCCCAGCATCATTCGTTTTCGGAGCAGATTTGGAGGATGTCTCGGGCGAGGATCTTATTGAATCGCTTCGCTCATTCCGCCGGCCCATTTCGCATGACTGAGCCTCTTGGGGCCGCTGGGGGGCCTCTTCAGCGTCGCTTGGGGGCCTCCTGAGGGCCTCTTGGGGGCTTTTGGGGCCTCTCAGGGGCCTCTTGAGGCCTCCTGGGGGCTTCTTAAGGCCGAGGGCTCGAAGTTTTGTTTTGTGTTCCCCCTTTGGGGCATCGCTTGGGGCCCTCTTGGGCCCCTCTTGGGCCGTCTTGGATGCCTCTGGGGCCGTCTTGGAGCCCTCTTGGGCCATCTTGGGGCCTTCTTGGGAGCTTCTTGGGCCGTCTTGGGGCGGTC